TTATTTTTTCTTGGCTACGTTGTAGTTCTCTGCAGGCCTCTATAAATAGGCTGACACATATATCACGTTTTCAACTTTATTCATAATTCACTACTCTTTTAAGTCATGTTATTGAAACAGAACACCCTACCCTATTTTTAAGGGATAATATACACGTTTCATGATCCACCCCTCACCAAGGACAAATGCTCAGAGTCTATCTTGTTCCTAAATTATTATGTTATTGTGCCTTTGGTGTCGGGTTTTTTAAGGTTCAAGTGTGATCCAATTTTGAGGGCACTCCTAATATGGGTACACATTGTTATCATGTTTTTCTGAGACCCTCTTGTTCCTCGACACTGCCACCGTACATACTTGCATTATTGGTAGGTAGGGCTTAACACATTCTTTTAAAATAGATTAAATTTATTAAAAATTATAAATTAGAAGGTCAAAGAAGTTGTAACATGAAAGAAAATACAAGTTTATTCGATTTAATAAAATTTAAGAAATAGTTTGCTAATATTTCTCATATAATCCTTGTATAATCTTCAATCATAACACAATGATTAACACAAAGATGACAACGTAGCGTTTGATGTTGAGGAGATTGAAGGACATGATGATTCTAGATATATGTATAAACCAACCACCGATTTAATTCAATCTTTTTTATTTTCAAGATATTATTGTGATTTGAGGTGGGGTCATTAAGATCACAAAACGAGTTTTTTTTTAATTTGTTTAATTGTTTTAATTTATTATGTCATTTCGGTAGATAATGAGACAGTAGTTCATTTTAAAAAAATATATATTAAATTAAAATTAAAATTATCATAATTTAAAATATTATATCTTTTTATGTTGTTTTACAAATTAGCATGTTAACATATGTATATTTTTTAATTTGTTTAATAAAATAAAAATTAATAAATAAGTATTTAAAAATGTAATAAATTGACCTGATAATTTTGCCAGGCATATTAGAAATGAGACAAATAAAACCGGACGTAGCTTACGACACCTTGGTGTCAAAAAGAGACAACTTTTACGAGCTATCATCCTCAGCTACATACAATTTCATGTTCTAGCATTTATTGTTTTGTATTTAATACTTTATTTGTGTTAGTATATCAATAAGAATCAAATAAAGAAGCCATCATCATTGAAGGGTAATTAATGTCTGTTTAGTTTAATTAAATAAACTTTTATACTAGTATAGAGAAACATACAATGCACTAATGATACAAATCAATTTTCCGTTGTTATTTAATGAATTTGTAGATTTTTATTTATATGTATTACTAAAGCATATGATTATTAAACTCTTAATAAGAAAATATTGTTGTTTCTACCAACTTGGAAAAACTTTGAGTTTATTCATGCATCTGAAATTGTGATACTTTTGCAGCTCGTTATTATTTGATATGTCGGCTAATAAAGAGTTATATAACCTTGTTCTTATTTATTTTTCACACAAATATTATAAAAATATAAAGTATATGATAATCAATAATTTATTTTTTAAATAAAAAAATCCTATGTGAGAAATTAGGTATCTTGCAGGAAATAGGTCTAATACTACCTACCTGTCTTGAAAAAGGACAAATGTTAGGATTTACGTTAAAAAAGGGACAAAAATATAATTGAATAAAATTAAACATTATTATTATTATAATTCCGTTTGATATCCGTCAAATTGGAAGTAAGAGTTCTTGGTGTATAAAATAAATAAGAGTTTTAGAAGATATGGAATGGAATCCATTAAATCATATAATTATAAACAATAAAATAACTTCAAAACTTGTATTCTACTCCATCTTCCATTAATCTAAAATTATTGTAAAGGAAAAAGAAGGGTCAGATACACCTAACCAAAAGTGTAAACTTACCCAAAATAAAAACCAAGGAGATGCGGACAAAGACCATAAAAGTTGTGTAAGTTATATTTTCTTTATTAAAATAGTTTCTAATTCTTAATTAAAATTATAATATGGAACAATATCAAAGAGTGTTCTGTGTACCCTTTAAATACACTCCACGTACTTGTGTTCATAAAGCAACCTACCATCGCTTGCATACCCAAAAATATTATGTAGGTTGAACAAGTTTCAGCTTTTGCACTAATCACTTCCAATCGAGTCTCATCTTTCAATTTTCTTTATCATTCACAAAGCTTAAACCTTAAATTTTCTTATACAAATTTTAATGTTTATGATATCACATAGGTTAGAAAATGATGGAAAAGTTTAAAGTTTTTTAATATTTCAGTCCATTAACGTGTATTGGTTTTGTCTACCTGGCCCATCAACACGAATCTATATGATTCCAATTTCATGGAAATCCATCATTTGGACCGTGAAAACCCATCATGGAGGAATATGGATTATGGACGTAAAGACATAGATTTTTTGTTTCTTTCAAAATGTAAAGTGGTTTCATCAAAATATATTGGGATAGTGATTTCGTAAGTAAAGAAGAGATAATTAGAAGTTTCAAAATACAAAAGACACGTAATAAATTATATGAAATTCAGAATGTTGTTCAAATATATGCGATCTTACTCATCTTCTATATTCGGATATTTGAGTTTCTAAACAATTTTTTTAACTTGAAATTATGTATGATTGGGTTTATGAAAAGAAGAAAAGGCTAATAAACAATAGAACAAGTAATAATAATTATATAATAGATTTAAAATTTATTTTCATTTAGTTAAAAATATTTTAAATTTATATTTGATTTTTTTATATTCCATAATAAAGTGTTGAAAGATTTAATTTAAATTTTTAGTTTAGAAAGTGTAAATATAGTTGGGGTTGAAGATTATAAGAGATTAGTTTATGTATTATAATTTTTTTCATATTATTATTTTTTGATTATTATTAAATAACGTTCATGAATTTTTCTTTATGTTAGAGTTTTTGTGGTATATTTTTGTATTGTTTATTTTTCCCTTATTATGATAAATTTTTCCGATCAAACAATTATAAGAGAGGAGGGAAAATGGGTGAAAAGCTGAGTTGCAAAAGATGGAGGCAATGGCTGGACAAAATCATTACATAGAAATGTTATTATTGTTCCAATATTCCGCCCAAGTTCATGCATGCTTCAAGTCCAATGGATTCACTTTCTGGACTTCAACACACTGCTACAGTCCCATGTGTAGATAATTGAGAGCAAAAAGGTAGAAAAGGCAAGTGGGAAAGAAAATGCCAAAACACAAGTACGGTCTCAAAAACCATGGCATCACAAATTTCTCATTTGTAGCCATAATTACTTTGTTACTGATAAGCTAAGTGGCACCCAACAACACCATGTTTCTTTAACCTTGCCATAATAGTTTTTCACTTTTTCCTATGTTCTTTATAACAGTGTTTTATCCTTGTAATGTGAGACAAAATCATTATCACATGAACCATCTAAACCTATTATGATAAGGACACAATTCTTAACTTCAAGAGCAATCCTAACTTACGAGAAAAAATGAAAAAATGAACTAATCATGAGTGAAGAAGCAACGGACATGTTCACCAGGTGATCCCCAAAATAATACTAATTACAACCCTCATTCATCGCTCTCAAAACACTGACATCGTGCTTAGTTTATTATAAATTCCAACCAAACCTAATAGGTACCGAGGTGGGTGCAAATTTTAATTTGTCCATTTAGATAATAAGACAAATGGAACCGACGTTTTTGAGAAAACATAAACCCAAGTACTTTGATAATTCACATATTTTCAGATTGACTCAAACTTTCATATGAGATCTCAAGCTTGTTTGCTTCGGAAAATTGTAAAAGTATCAATGTTTTACTGGACACTGAAGCGATAATGAAATGGTACAGGATTTTAAAAGTTTAATAAGATTTAATAATTTTCTTTATAATATAATAAATGTATAATTATTTAATTAATAATAATATTTAAAAAGTACTAATTATCATAAAAATTATAAATATAAAAAATTATAAATATAAAAATTATAATAAATAATTATTAAAATAAAATAAAAATATAATAAAATAACTAAAAAATTATATTAAAAAAATTGATCTTAAATTATTTTTTAAATTTTAGACAAAAATTAAGTCAATTTTTTTAATTTTATCAATTTTATCACTATTTAATTAAATATATTATTCCGATTTAATTTTTAAAACAGTTAATTTTTTTTAAATAAGACAACAGTAAAAGAAATTTTAACTTTCCTAACTTTTAACAATTTGTAATTTTAAAAATATTATTTTAACCATTATAATTAGGGATTTGATATCTCCATATTTTGAACTATCTTCATCTTTCTTTTCTAAAATTACTCATTATTCATCTTCATGTGTCCTCTCGTAATAATTTACAGAGTACACACTCATTTTAACCCTTGAAAGATTTAGGGGTAATACAAAGAACTAATACAGACAAATGAATATAGAAACCAACGAATCACTTTCTTTTCAATAATTTCAATTTTTTAAAAACCAAAAAATTAATTAGGTAATTCAACTTAATGACATGAAATTATTCACATCTACTACGAAAGAAAATTACTTTGACATTACCACTTAATAGCCTATTATTCACCACCTCCTATATTGTATAGAAACTATACCGGATGTTTCCTTATCTTTATCTTTAATATTTATCAAGAAATGTCTCTAATTACAATAAAATAATATATTGAGAGCTCATTTTTATTATAAATTCTAATTTATATTAAATAATTATCACGGGTAAATACAAACTAAGTACTGATTACTAAAAGGATTTAAACTTCAAAGTGATAAAAAGCAAGCAAATGCAATAAACAAAAAAGTTATCTTCGACCGAAGTTCTAGTGTCCACAAGAAAATTACTAGGAGCTGAATCCATCATCTACAACTCATTTCATGAAATAAAAGTTGCTCTTCAATGTCATCATCTTGAAGCTCTTAACTTATTCACGGTTCATTGACAGATGGACCAATCCAGTAAAAGCATGTACGCAACCACACTTGCTCCTTCAATCCATGAAAAATGTTCTCAATTTGCTTTAGAACCAATAGCCCTTTTGGCAAAAGATGGCAAACAGAAAGCCGCGGTATGAATCTGAAGTAAAAAACATAATACAATATGTAACAGTTCAGTAAGAAAATGAGAAAACAATTGGGAGTTGAAGTGAAAGAGAAGAAAGACATGGTCGGAGCAGCAAACCTCAGAGTTGTAAAATTTCAATGGTCTTGTTGACTGTTGACTATCATTTTCATCTATAGGATTCACTGGATGCTTGAAGTCCACAGGAGGACCCTCAGTTGAACAAAGCATAAAACCAATCATCCCACTGAAATGGAAATAATCAAAGCAGCATAAATAAGGGAAATCATAGGGGTATGTATGTTTTGAAGACTGCAATGCAAATGGGAAAATAGATAACAAATTTTGAAACAGCATATATACCTTGGGTAAGTAGGAACCGTGGTCCATGCATAGTTGACAGAGCCTTTGAATATCTGACGACAATTAGCCACAATGCCCTCAATGATATCCATATGAAGCCATATACTTTCTGCTTGAGTACACACAACTCCTCCTGGACGAAGAGCCCTTGCAACTGACGAAAAAAAGGGCTTTTCAAACAGTTCTTGAGCAGGACCTTAAAGATATCAAATATAATCTCAATTAGAAACATTACATTAACTGCAAAAGGCCAGGAAAATAAAAACAAAACGAAATACAGTATACTCTACCAATAGGGTCGGATGAATCCACTATAACTGCATCATAAGTTCCTTCTTCAACAGCCTTCAAAAATGCAACTCCTAGATCATATAGATAAACCATCATGAAGAAAGTTATCTTCAACAGTAAAGTAGTTAAGGAACCTAAAAAAATATGGAGAATAACAAATTATACCATCACCAATAGTAAGGGTCACGCGTGGATCCTCAAAACCTACTGATACATCAGGAAAAAATTGCTTGGAGACCTGCAAAGTGTAACAACTTCAATTTGACATTGAGCTCGTACTGCTAAAAAAGAAGTTACTACATATTTTGCATACGAGCATTATTTTGTTAGATAAGCAGAAAAACCCGCTGAAGTCAATTAGGAAAGAGCAGGAGAAACTAATTACATGCAGATAGTCGTCTGTTACTAAATATTTTGCTTCGATTTGAGATAGGAAATAATAGTTTTATGGCCATTACTTACATCAACAACCATCTTGTCTATTTCGCAAATATCTATCTTCTCTACCGAGGAATGGCGAGCTACTTCACGCAGGACTCCACCATCTCCTCCACCAATAACCAAAATCTAACACAAGAAAAGGAGCAAGGAAAAGAACAATGAATTCCATACATACATTGAATAGAATGTTATGAAGGGAAAAACAGGCTAATGTTTCAAAAAAAGATTATTGCTTATAATTTGAAACATTTCACTCTCATGGTTGAAGTCATATCTCAGATGCCTTATTCCACGAGTATGATCCTTCCTACTCTCATCAACACATGTCATTCTGTACTCTTCTAATAAAATGTAAACTCAACAATCTAATACATTAATAGACTACTGATATTCTAAATATAAACCAGCAGTGCAGCTCAAATCAGCATGATGATGGACACATCAACAATCTGAGTGAACAAATCAATATGAACATTCTTCTACAAATTCTTCTGTCCCCCTCCCCCTCTCTGACTCTCCTAATGTCTACATATGACTAAAAACTATACACTGCCTTGCAATTATCCTGGAATGTTTTGTAAAACTACACAAAATTTGACAACAAAATGAGCAAACTATTCATACTCTAAATTCCTGAAGCTAGTAGAGGGACTCAGTATCAATTACCTTTTTGGGGTTTGAAATAGAGCAAAGAGGAAGATGAGTGATCATCTCTTGGTAGGCACACTCATCCCTCTCTGTGAGCTGAATGACCCCATCCAGAACAAGAACCTTGCCGTAAGTTGACGACTGCAGAAAACAAATCACAGAATGCACCATTAAATAAAACCAAGACCAAAAGGGGGAAAACATGATAAAATATTCAAATTTAACTGAAATTACAAATTACCTGGAAGACCATAACATTCTGATAGTCGGACTTCCCTTCAAACAGAATTTTTTCCACCTTCAAAGAATGCGCCTCCCCTGCAGAGGAAAATCAGATTCCATCTCACGTGTGTTATTACAAAACACCAGCCCAAACATTCCAAGCTAATAGTACAAGACAACAACGACGAAAAATAACCAAGTTCTATGCATTTCTCATTGATTTAAAAACAAACTCTCCTCCTCATAAAATCAGCGAAAAAGAAGTAGTGAAAATAACAAAAAAACTGAAAAATTAAACATACTCCAGAACCTACCCAATAAAACAAAACCCGAAAAACAAAAAAATTAGAAAGCATTAAAAGAAACAGTTTTGAAAACACTCTATATTAACCAACGTATAACAAAAGATTCCACACAAAAATTACTTCATACCCAATAATCAATTAAACAGAGGGTTAATGAGAAGTCTAAAAATTGAAGGATGAGAGGGAAGGAGGGGGAGGAAAAGAGAGGGTTTTTACTAACCAGGCCACATTGGGCTGATTTCAGAGAACCAGCCGGGAATAACCGCAGAGATACCAGGTTGTTGAGAGTGATTGGAGAGCGTAGAAAGGGTGTCGGGGACGCCATTTTCTCCGTCGACTTGCCCTTCTTCTCTGGGTCTCTTGACGGGTAAGTCTGAGAACTGAACCGCGTTGCTCTCCGCAGCCATGATCTTCTCTGAAGTGAGTAGGGAACACACGCACTCCTTGCCCTCCACTACTCCTTTTATAGCTGCTACGGAGAGATAAATCATAATTTCCTCTTTCTTGGTAAACTATTACAATAAAAAACATTATCACGTAAGATACTCATGTATCAACCACATTTTACCCAAATACATTTTTTACAACTACTTTTATTAATATAATAATAATAATAGTATTTGTATTATATTTTTCTCTTACTTTGTTTCATACTCTTAAATTATTTATAAAAGTTTTATTTTTCTCTTTCTTTCTCTTTCAGTCCCAAATTATTTAGAAGATATTTGTATGGGATTTGTTGTCACGAGAGGGTTATGTGAAATATAGTGTGACAGAATGATTTTTCTATCATATATTAATTATTAAAAAAATTTAAATTATGTTTTTTTAATGAGAAAACCTAATCTTCAACCCACATTTTCTTTGTGATTCTCCTTTTGTCCTTGACATGTACTTATTTATAAAAAAAAAATTACATTGTAATTACACTAATTACTCTTTAAAAAAAATATACAAATAGACACCATTTTTTTCTTGAATTTTTAATAAAATAGCACTATGTCTCTTTTAATGTTTAACAGATATTTACATATTTTTTCTAATAAATAATATTTATATTTTATATTTAATCAAGTAATACTCACTTTTATTTTAAAATATAATATTAATTAAAACTTAAATAAACATATAAAATTAAAATTAATGTTTAAATGAATGTTTTTCATAAATAATAAAATAAACAATTTAGTTATGACAAAATATAGCATGAAAAAAGATAAAGGAGACGAATATTATCTGTTAAAAAGCATAAGAAAAATTGAATAACATGTTTCTTTAAAAATTAGAAAATGAGTTGTCATTCTTTTAAAAATTTAATAAACAATGCATATTTGAAATTAATATCATTGATTTATAGCCATAACAACTAGATATTTGTTTTATATAATTGAAATTAATATTAACTTACTATTTTATGTTTATATATCAATATTTTAAATTTAAATATGATATATAATTTTTTTAGTTATAGAAAATATATTTAATTTATTGAAAAAAAAGTACATAAGATTGAAAAAGATACGTCTTTAGAAAATAAACTGTTAAAGAAAATTGTTTCACGGATTATAAATAAAATGCATATCTAAAAAAATAAAAAAATTGCTTTAAAAAATATATTGAATAGAGTAAGAAAATTGAGGAAAAATGATAATGTTAGTCTCTAATTTATGTATTGATTTATAATAGTATAATTAGTTAATACTTTAATGTGAGCTAAAATTTTATATTTATGACTTTTTTTTAATATGCTTTTAACTTCCATTTGGTAGAAATGATAAGAGGCAAGCAGCTGAAAATTATATGAAAATAATATTATTCATATGATATTTTTATTTGTTTCTTTTTTAAAATTGTGTTATGAAAATTGTTTTGACCTTTGACTAAGCCATATTAAAATCAATTTCAGTTATATAATTTATCATTTTATATTTTTAATATAAAAGTACCTGGTATTTTTAAAAGTTTTTTAATTTATTTTTTTTAGTTGGAAAATATTTTTTAAATTAGTTGAAAAAATGATAATTCTAATTTTTAAAATATTTTACATATGACATTTAGTGAAGCAGTATAACTATTGTAAATACCTATTTTATTGATGAGATTAGAACATTTAAATAATAAATACGAGGAGATGATGCTATTAATTACGGTGAAAAAACTGTAAAATAATTTTATTTTTATCAATTTTTGTTTGTTAGTTTTAAAAATTGATAAATAAAAAATATTTTTAAAAACACTAAATAAATAAGATATTTGTTTTTTTTTTAATTAAAAATAGAAAGAAGTTAAAAATTATATTAAAAGAAAAATAGTTAACTAAGAGGTCTTATAATATAAAAGTAACTCAAGAGAAGTGAGATAAAATCAAATTATGGGTGAAAGTCAAAGTTGATGATAATTATTAAAATCAACTTATGTATATAGTTAGTGTGACATGAATATTGAGATATTCAATATTATGTGATGAAAATATAATAAAAAATGTCTGATAACAATATGTTATAAAATTAATAATATATTAAGACTAGTTTTGACTCTTCTTAATCCAAGTATCAGAATGATGTTTAAATTAAGATTTTGATACACTAACTAATCATAGAAACACACAAATTTTATTTTGTGGTTTTGGAACAAAAGATTTGAATTTTAAATATTTTTAAAAGTATTTAATTTATGATTTTGATGAAAGTGATATATTGAGATATATTTGTGACAAAGAATAAATATTTTATAAATAAGTAGATGATTATGTTTTAATATTTTTTTCTTCTTATCTATTTCACTTGAAATATAAGGATATAAGAAGCATTATCTATACAAATGTTATTGGAAAATTAGAATAGTCCACGGTATTTTTACGATATGATACAAATTTTGTACTGAAAAATCTTCCGCGAACCATCTTTGTAATTTAAATTTTAAAGTTAACAGGTATATAAAAAAAAACTAATTAAATGAGAGTCTCTGAACATCGAAAATCGAAAGGACTTCTTTGTAATTTTCTTTATGAAATTATTGTTAAGAAATCATCATATCCTAAATAAAGATAGCACACTCAAACCTTGATTAGGACATTGAAGAATAATTACTTCTTCTGCGAGAATGAACCCAATGATAAATATTTATAATTTAATGACAAATAAGAAAGAGTAAAAAAATACGTAAAGAAGAAATGAAAGAAAATCAGCAGTGGTGAAGGAAGAGAGTTGAATGAATGGGGTCCAATAAAAAGTAAAAAGGAATCTGCTTTTGGGAATAGGGTTAGGGTTAGGGTTGCTGGAAATGTGCTTTCGGTACATGCCAATATCCCCACATCATAAATCCCCGGGTAATTTCAAAAGTACAACTGCGAATCATAGGGCTTTCAATTAGGGTTTCTTTTTGTTTACCATTTTTTTTATTTCTTATTTTATCCCCAAAACATATCTACAGATCTAATAAAGTATACTAATGTTGCCCCTTTTTCATTACACATGACTTTTTCTTTTAAAGAATACAATGACAGGTTTTAAAGAATGCCAAATGCATTGGGTGGTTAATTTCACATGTTTTGTCTTTTTCTTTTGAGAAAAATGTAAAAGTGTTCAATGAAGTTAAAGTGCTGAAATTGTGAAGAGAATTGATTTAAGAATTTGTCTGTTTTTAAATTAATCAAATAAATATTTAATCCAGTTTTTAAAAAACTTGAGATAATATTTGTCCTTTTCTTTACACATGACTGGTGAGAGGAGAGGGAGGGTAATAGGGTGGAAACTAGGTTAATAATAAAGAAAATGAAATGAGTAAAATATGTGGATATTCGATGAAGAATATTTGAATAAGTCAAAACACTGTTTGGAAAGAGGTAATACCTTTGAATCAATGGAAGAATAAGACAAATTTGAAAATTATAAATTATTCAATTGTTTCATTGTCCAAAACCTAATGCATTATAATTATCAAAGTTGTTTTTATTTTTACTGAAATTTTTTTTTCTTAATCCAACAATTGAAGATAAATCACTTGTTAAATTCATAGTGTTAAAAAAAAAGTGAAATGTTATGCCGAGGGTTAAATTTTCTGGAAATAAATTTATATTATTTTTTTCTTATGATTTATACACTTTTATAGGGATTTTATTATCGGAATTAGATTACTAATTTATGACTATATATCATTTATATTATTGTTTCATTTATGCTTCATGGTAAATTTGTTTTATACCCATTTTTTTTGTTTTACTGGTTTCTGTTACAATTTTAATTAAGGCCCCATTGGTGTGCAAGCGGGCCACAGCCCAACAAAGAAAACGCACATTCTACTTTTTGGCCCATGAAACCATCAACAAAACAAGATAAATAAACATTGAGTGAAACAGTGAGCCTAAAAGGAAAAAAACATTTTTTGGGTCGCATAACTTAAAAAAAAAAAATGTAACCGTCATTCACCCTTTAGGGGACAATTTTTTTTTCTGCACTCTCATATTTATTTTTTAAAAAATAATAATATTATTAGTTTTATAGAATAAATGTTCCAAATATATATTTTTTATATATATGATTTAAATTTTAAATTCACCTTTTTAGAAGTTTTTTTGGAAAAAACTTTCCAAAAATATTTCTGATTAATTTTCTAAAATATTTAAAAAAATTAGTTTCATAATATTTTTGGAAAACTTATGAAAATATTTATGAATATAATTTGATAAACAATACCGACATAATATCATGTAATATTTATCTTTACAAGAAATTAAATTATCTTTTGATAAAATATCAATACAAAAAATTCGTTTGAGAAAGTTCTTAAAATGGTCAATTCAAAACTTATTTATATTAAAAGTAATATTATTTTTATTGATGAGTATAAGACGAAGGAAGGAAAAAACTTAATTTTAGCTAAGAATATTGGTGATTGACAGTTATTTGAATTTTGTAATTAGCCAATTTTTTTTTACTCGAATAAATAATAAATGATTTATTATTTGAACATAAAAGCAACAGTTGCACATAATCTACTTGGCAACTACATCACCTACATAATTCAAAATCGATAATAACTCCACGTTCGTTAAAGAAAAATAAAATGGAGTCGAAAGGAAGTAAAAATTAATTTTTTTTTATATATATTTCATTAATAAAGAAGTAAATTTTGAATTACAGAATTTTCAGTTTATTGTATTATATTTTTATTTATTTTCATTGTTTTTTGGTTTTGCAACTAAATAATTTTTTATTTATCTTTTTAATATTTATCCATTATACTTAAAAATAAACACGAAAAGAAAAGGCAAAATTGGATTCGTCATGCACAATCATGTGAGCTACACGCTGGCCAATTAATGCTTTTTCGCCCCAACATGAATCACAAGTGACGTGTACACACAAAACTACATTTTCTTAAATTCCACCTTCTATTTTTTTTTCTT